TCCTCCGGTTCAATTTGCGAACCGGCCGCTGCGATTTTATCAACTATGGATTTGATCTCTGTGAGATACTGTATCATAGTTGAGTACTTGAGCGAGAGATGATAGAGTTCATTCTTGAGCTGAATGACGCGAGACCGGTTTGTCGATTGAAACCTCGTTTCAAGAGTGTTCCAAATGGAGGCGGTTGATTCAAGATTTAAAACGTAAGGAAGAAGAGACGCTGAAATTGTCGAACAAATAGCCGCAAATAAATTCTGATCGACAAGAATCCATTTCGTGAAGGCAGGATTCAGAGCCGAAGTGCCATCAGGTTTAGAGATGAGCTTTACCGGCACTGGGCTGTTTGAGTCAAGAAACGACTCGAAGCCGTTTGCGCGGCAGATCTTTGCGATTTGCGATCGCCATACCGAGTAGTTCTCAGTAGTGAGCGAATTCTGGACGAAGTTCTTGAGATTTGCAAGTACGAACTTCAGGTTGAAGGCGATGTCGGTGGTTTCCGACATAGCTGTTTCCGTATTATCGGAATGTTGAGTAGACGAAGACGAAGCCATGGAATGCCCTGGATCTTAATCCATATCTGATACCATGTAGAAAGTTTTGAGAAAGAAGAGAGATGGAGCAAAGTTACAGAGAGCTTGAACGCAAACAGTAGAGAAGAAAATAATAAAACTTCATTACCTCTCATTTACAGATTACATCTATATATAGTTTTAAGTACCGCCACATATGCGGTCATACAGTTTTATTTACAATTATGTAGCTATGGTTCTAATATTAGTCATCATAACTCAACTAAGGTGCAACCGTCGCCAGCTGCAATCCTCTGACTACCATTGCTCGATCATGATTCTTCGACATTTATTGTATGACAACAATCCTCTGACAGTCGTCTCTTGACTTTGGTCCTTTGACCATCATTGCTCAACTATACTCCTTTGACTATCATATTCCTACGATCATTCGACCATTATTATCAACTACAATCCTCTCACCACCCTCATCCATCATTGGACCTTCAATTATTGTGGCTTAAATACTGTCACCTGACTAATTGTCCTCCAAACATTGTTGTCTTTCTTTGGTTCACCGAACACTGTCATTTGACTGTTGTCCTCTAATTATAGTCATGCAATTATGGTCCTCCAATTATCATTACCCGATTGCAATTATCTGATCACAATTTCTTAGATCATTATCCCTCTAGCATCATTGCTCGATTATAATTCCTCCGACAACTAGTACTCGACTGTATTCCGCTAACCACCATTGTCCAACTATTAACCATCATTTATTGACTATAGTCATTCATTCACTATCACTTGGATACAATCGTATGACTATTATTAATGCATGCTGACTTCAACACCTAATGTTGTCAATAATATCAATGCATGCCATCACCAACAAGATAGATGTATATCGTCGACACTTACTCTAACTTCCAACATCAACACCAGGATTATGTTAGAATGCTTAGTCTCTAGATTTGCTTCCTTAAGACTGGAACTAAATGAATAACAAATTGACCTCTTAAGAACATCTCTTATGATACATGACTCTTTCAATCTCCACCATAAAATCTATACTATATAGTTTATGCCTATCAAATTTGAGCCAAATATTGGAATATGAATCATTTGTAACCAATGACAAATATTGGAGGAATCATTTTCATATGGCCAAACCCTATAAATTTTTTCTCTTTTTCAGATATTGCAAATATAAACTCTGATATATCTTTCAACCACGTATTCATATATGTATGCTGGATCTCTATACAAAGTAAAGACATTAAACTCTTTCACTCAACTACTCTGAATGTTTTGATACACAATAAGATTTTATATACATTTTAATATGTTTACCAATAATATATATGAAGTACAAATAAAATCAAGCACTATTCTGCATATGAATAAAAACTTATAATCTGAATAGGCTTTGAAATTATCTAATACACAGTTAATGAAATGATTTAATAAAATATTATATTTTGTTATGATATTATTATTATTATTATGAGTTTTTTAGTTAATAATTTCGAACAATTAAAATTAGAATCAACATTAATTCTTTAATTTGAAAATAGCAAAATATATCCAATTAATAAAACTCATATCTTACAAAAAACAATCTATAAATTTATTTAAAATTTTGAAATTCAACTATATTTCAGAGATTTTTTTTTTTTTTTTTTAACTTTTTCACTTTTATTCAAACCCTTTAAGCTAAATATTTGTTTGATTAAGTTAAGTGTTAGGCATCTATTATGGTTTATGATGACATACATCAATGTAAATGCGAACCATCGCCAACAAGATTGACACTTGCCACAAAATACATATAAGTGCTAGCCATCGCACTACTAAAAAACTAGTGTTTTCGCAGCATTTTTATCTGCGGTTTTTAAACCGCTACTAAAAATAAGTATAAGCAGCAGTTTTTACTACTGCTAAATTTACTATTAAAAATTGATATACTTCTTTGTATTTTAAAACAGCGGTTTACGAACCGCAGGTAATTAGCACCCCGCTCATAAACCGACCTCGATCAATCCTTTTTTTTTTGCCCTAGCCGACACATCCTAAACCGCCGACTTCGTCTTCGGAGACAATCCACGCCGAATCACTTCTACTTCCGATGCAGAATGATAATAGGCGAACCAATGCCGAAGCTTCTTTTTCGTAGATGAAGGTCGATCAATACTTTTTTTGCCCTAGCCGACATCTTCTTCCCGTAGCTTCTTCCTTCGGCTTCCGGCATCTCGTTCCCTTCGTCCTTCGGTCCGACAGTGTCGCGTGGCCTGTGAGCAGTCCGCCGTTGGAGGTAAGATTCGACATTGCATTGATTTGGATTTTCTTTGTTGTTTTCATTTTTTATGTATCAGTTTTTACTTTTTTTCATGTGTATTATGTAGACGTTTAAAAAAATTGTTGGCCCGTGAGAAATCCGCCGTTGGATCTATCCGTCTGGATGTTTTCCATAGTTGTTTTAATGCGTTTGCTTGTGTTTTCTGTTTTCTGGAGTGATAGTATTAAAAGTTTAGGGAAAGTCTTGAGCAGTCCGCCGTTGGGACCATAGTTGTGTTAATGCGTTTCCTTGTGTTTTCTGTGTTAATCCATTTGGATTTTCTTTCTTTCTCTACCTTGTGTTTTCTGTTTTGGTTGGGCTTTCTGTGTTGATTTGGTTGCACCTGCAGAAGAGCAAGTGCTTAAGTAATTGTAGATTTATATATTGTTAATATTCACTCAATATCATCATGATGATATTTATTTGTTATGCCATTTCTGTTTTTTCATCATGATTCATAAGGCCACCTGTGTCGTGGAAGTTTTGATGGAAACTTTGAATGCCTTGGCTCCTAGACCCTTAGTATGTTATTCTACTGTTTGACTAGTCGCTTAACATACTGAGTGGGCTAAGCATGGCTAAGGAGGCCGTCGAGGATTGGAGGAGGTTTATGCAGGACATGAAGGTGAATAAAAGGAAGGTTAGTATTCATAAAGGGGATGGGAACTTTTGTTACAAGAAGTGGCATAAAATATTTGTTGGTGATGTAGTGAAGGTTGAGAAAGATCACTTTTTTCCTGCTGATTTGCTTCTGCTTTCCTCGAGTTATGAGGACGGGATATGCTATGTGGAGACTATGAATTTGGATGGGGAGTCAAATTTGAAGGTGAAGAGGGCATTGGATGTGACATTACATTTTGATGAGGATAAAACTTTCAAGGATTTTTATGCCACCATTAGGTGTGAAGACCCCAATCCTAGTTTATACACCTTTGTGGGAAATTTGGAGTATGAGAAGCAGGTGTGTAGCAGTTTTTTGCATTATATATTTTTTAATTTGTGATACCCTTTAGCAGCGGTTTTAACACGTGCTAAAAGCGCTGCTATATCCTTCCTACAGCAGCACTCATGAAACCGCTGCTATAGCCTTTGCAGCGAACACAAATACAGCGAATTTGCAGCGGTTTTTAAACCGCTGCAAATAAATTAGTAGGTGCTTAAACCGCTGCCGTAGGTCATAAAAAGTGCTGCGAAAACTTATTTTTTTAGTAGTGTCGTCAGCGACATCAATATCCACCATCATCACTAACATTGATGTTTTGCCATCACCAATGAGTTAGATATCTGCCAACAGCATTGCTGTCAACATCAATCATTGATGAGATCGAAGGAATGTTCGCCCTGCCATTTGGCTTGAATAATTTCATGACCTATCAATAATAATAATAATAATAATAATAATAATAATAATAATATGAATGTGTGGTTCAGCTATAAGATCTTGCCCATACAGTGAACCAGTCCAACAAGAACTTTTATTTGGTCCGGTGAACGGACGTAGAGCTACGTTCGGCCGGCATTGAGATCACGCCACGTAGCAGGCACAAAACCGCGGACCCGACCCGACGAATAGTGGGTATGTCTCACGTGCGTTTTTTAAATCCATGACAACCCGATATTGCTAGGTATTTATCGATTTTGCTCAGCAATAACAAGAAATACCATTATGCGAAGACAAATACCAAGCAATACCGAGTTTTTTCTAGAAAAAACTCGGTATTGCTCGGTATTGATCTTCACAGAGCGGTATTTCTCGTTATTGTCAAGCAATACCGAGTAATACCTAGCAATACGCAAACATAGCATTCACGGGTTCCGATCCGGATCAAGTTATCGGGCCACGTGATAAAGAATAAGAGCACGTGACACGATCTCAGTGATGAATAGAGCTACGTCTTCGCCCAACAGGCCGGTTTATGTCGGCTCAATTAATTAACGAAATGGGTTTTCAATATCTCTCGAACGCACTACGAAAATTCCCGTGCGCGGAATATTCCTTAAATAGTTAAATTGTCCCCACCGTTTATGCTCTAACTAATCAAATAGATCCACGTCATCAGAATCACATGGTCCATACCGACTATATTTCCAGGTCAGCACATATCGACCGCTAATATTCAGACTCGATTCTTCCGTGGTATTCGCCTTGCTTCTAGAGTTCTATTTATCTCGCTTGTTCCATCGTCTCGCGTGTCTTTCCTGGTAGAAGCCATAACGCTTGAGGGCCGATCGGAGGGGGAAATAGGGAGAGAAAGAGGCGAGAGGCGAGAGCCAGCGGAAGTGAGGACCTTATTTGTACCTATAAGAAACCCTAGCCCTAATCCTCTACGTTAACGATGATCAATCTAGGCATGGATACCCGGCCGTCGACCTCCGTCACGGCGGAAAAGGCCATTTCCTTCATATCCAAGGGTTGGAGGGAGGTGCGCGACTCCGCTGGCGCCGACCTCCAATTGATGCGTGCTAGGGCCAATTCCTTCAAGGATCTTGCGGATCGCGAGGTTGAGAACTTCCTCCACTCAGCGTCTGTCTTCTCCGTCCCTTCACATTCTCCGATGAACAGCGCCATCGCTGAGCTCGAGTTCGTGAAGCGGATACAGCCGAAATTATCGGAGTTCCGGCGGGCGTACTCGTCGCCGGATTTCAGCAGGAAGATGCTAGAGAAGTGGAGTCCTAAGCCGCGTATCCGGATTGATCTGTCCGCGATAAGGAATGCCATCGTCTCGGAGGTCGATCATGATGGGGGGCTGTTTGATTTTGAAAGCAGTAGACCTCGACGCCTGGTTAGGAGGATCCGGTGGAAGGAAAGGGAAAGGGAGAAGGAGGAGGAGTGGGAGCCAATTCGACAATTGAAAGAGAAGTTTAAAGAATTAGAGCAGAAGAGTCAATCGAACGATATATTTTGGAATTTCAAGAGTAAAGAGTTGGTCGAGAAAGTAAAATTGAGCTTGGTACGTTTCTGCTATCAACTTGACAAGTTATTAATATTATATTTTTTGCAGGGAGAGAATAATTTTACTCTTCATTGTTTGATTCTCTTGATCTCCTAGACACGTTTAGTCACAAGCATACGCTAGTCAGCACATGTATTATCGCTGTTGATAGTGTGCAGTAATGCTAATTTGTAAAGAGCAAGCAAATACGGGATTTTGGGCTATAGTTGGCGACATAATATATTCTTAGTGTTGTAATGCAATTTTGAGGGCTGCGCTTTTCATATTAGATTTGTAATGTATGGATTCTTATAGGAAATGCTAGATCTATGCATGGAACCTTTTGGTTGAAGTAAACGAATCCATTTGATGTTCTCTTTAATCATTACCTAGGAATAATTATATTCTTTTAAGCAAAAGCACTTCCTTGCGAAGAAAAAGGGAGCTTATTACAGTAATGAAGGATATGTGAACTAAATCCTTTGGAGTACTAGAAAAAGATAGCTGCGGTCATTGCTTCAATAAATTGTCTTTTAGCTGTGCTTTTCATGTTATTTCAAAGGAAGGACATTTAAAATATTTGGTTGTTGAAGTAATGTGTAAATTATGTAATTGTTGAGAAATGAGAATATAGTTCAAATGTTAACAGGGTTTGGATGGAGCAACGTGACTGTCTTAATATGATGTCAAATCCATATCTTGTAAAATCTTCTTGTATACAATGTAAGATTCATAAGAAGATGGTGGTTGGCCGTAAATGTAGAAACATTAACCTGAATTATATACAGGGAATGCATAATAGGCAGATAGTTGCTAGATACAGCTTGGACATCATGTGGTTTTCGTTTTCACAAATAAAAAATATGAAAAATGGATAAAGTTAATGTTCTATATACCATGTAGTAACAAGGAAGTAGGTTTAGAGACTTGTCAAGCAACGAGTTGAGGAGACTAGTTTGAACATTGCACTTGTATTGGAAGGCAAGGCTTATCAGCAAGCATCATCTACCAACACTTCATAGAAATTAGGAATTCTAAATTTATTTGTTGGTTGGTTATGAATGTTCAAGCATCTTGTTTTCTAGTGACTATCTATGTTGGTAGATGAAATAGTGGAGGAATCTCTGTTAAAATTGTAAATTTTATTATTGAGTCCATAATAAAATGATATTTTTGTCCTTTGAGATAATATATCACCTTTCTTATGTCGTACTCGATCACAAAATATGCAATCCATTGAGGTTAGCAAAATTTCTCCAACATGCTCTACCACATCACTCATCTAGTTGCCGATGACCTTGCTGCCACCCCTTTGATGACCCTATGCTTGCGACATCACCCATATCATGGTCCCCGTTCGATCATGCAACTTGTGCCTGAGACCTGCAGCGACACCCTAGCCTATGCCGACAACGCCACCTATGACCCCACACTCGCTTCTATGTCATTCACGCCATCCCCGTTGTTGGCTTGTTTGTGTCCTAGATTGATTTCAAATTTTTTAGCCTACCAAACACAAAATCTAAATTTTGCATATTTATTTTATAACCAACTAATCGATCTTAAGGAATCAAAATACATTATATTTAATTCACATTGCATAAATACTTGTAACTAAATAACCCCTAAGTGTAGAATCTGATCCCAAATATTTTATGAATTGAAAGTATGAAACAAGTTTAATTATAAATAAACATGAAGTTACAGGAAGGACATATGGCCAATTATGGATCTAGTCAAAAGTTATAGTTCGAATTCAAACTTGCAGTATGTAATTGTTTTTATAGTTCGAATTCAAACTTGTAGTATGTGATTGTGTTGATAGGAAAGGAAGAATGGAGGAGAAATATTTTCTCAATGTATGGCATGTGCGAAGAGAATAAGTGCAAAATTGTTATAGATGGATGTAGTGCAATGAATGTTATATCCACCTATGCTATTACTATAGTAGACCTTAAGCCTGACCCCACCCAATGCCTTTCCTTTTGAGCTAGGTGAACCACACATCTCCATTTATCACAGTTAGGCGTTCAGTGCCTATCAAAATAGGATGCTATGTTGATCATATATGATGTGATGTCCACCCTATGAAGATAACTCATATTTTTTTAGGTAGGTCTTGCCTTAATGACTTAAATGTCATTCTTTATGATAGAGAGAACACTTATGTGTTCAAATTCAATGGCAAACCATAAAGCCATTGCCTAATATAGTATGAAAAAGTTCAATTTAAATAGACATGAAGTTGTGATAATGACATATGGCCAGTTATGAATCTTTTTAAAAGTTACAGTTGGAATTGAAACTTGCAGTATGTGATTGTGATGTGATACCACATGCGAAGGAATTGCGTTCGGAAATTAAAATAAAGATTATTCAAAGCGTGTCATAACAAATTTTAATTACCAACAAAAGTAAAGGGTTAAATCGTTCAAAGTAGTTAACTTGCTTAGGCGAAGATGTGCTTTGAGTTAACCAAACCAATCTTATCATTCAAATAAGCAGAAAGATCACACTATCATTCTGTCGACAAAAATTATTTATGAAGCAAGTATCAATTTATAAAATGATTTAATCATCCAATGTGCATTAATTCTTACCAATGAGGGGATGAGGTATTGCAACTCACTTAGACAACAACTTTTATGCATGTAATTCTTTAATCAATGCTGTAAAATACATTTGAAGCATCATCAACAACACTAACTAATTTGTGGTTTGAAAGACTACTTAGTGAAAATCTCACTTATTGTCCCATTCAATGAAAACCATCCATTGAGAAATTTTCGTTGCATCTAATTGATGATCAGTTGATCTCTTTTTGAGCTAATGAAATTGTGGTTGCTGCTAGTTTTATTTATGTTTGTTCAAGTAGGCTATCAATCTTGATTGCTTATCGTTGTTCTTCCTGTGTCGAATGTTGTGTTTACCGGAATAAATTTGCATGACCTTTTCTGCCTTGATTTCTTTTTCACATTATTATTTAATGGTTTGCCAATAAATATATTTTATTTAATTTCTTATGATATTGTTGTTACAGAAATCATTTTGCAAGGAGCGTGAAGAGTCAAAGGTTTGTCAACACTATCTTAAATTTCTATGCACCTGTTTACTTTTTCTTTCATAATTGGAATTTGGGTTGCAACATTTTCTTCTTGAAAGCTTAGATTTGGTCGTATGAAAGTCCAGCTAAAAGACATGTTCTATAATTTAAAAAGGAAAATAAAGCGAGTTTCAGGGAAGTTCTAATTTCAATGATGGCCAAGGTGTCAGTCTTTTTTATGATTGTCTTGTAGGTAGCTGGTAACTTGTAAACTAATTTCTAATTTATTTGTTGTCTCGAGTTAGCTGTTATTTTCTATCAAAATGCAACCGCTTGCAATTTGTATAGCTGTTTGATTCATGGAATTTTTACTTGTATGTATCAATGCAAAAAAACTGGCGAACACTTATTTTATACACAGTTCTTAAAAATTATCACTCTCACCACAAAGCCCTGGAACCCTTTCGAGTATATTGCCACGGCTTGCAACTTGTTAAAGATTTACTGGGTATTTTTATATTTTAATTCGTCACCATTACTAGAATTTGTCGTAGGATGTTGGAGCAAAAAATAGTGGGCCTGTTGTAGCCAACAATTAGCATGATTGGGGAGAGGAAGGAAGGATTGCTTGAAGTATCCAAGGTGATGATTAACCTAACAAAGGTTAGACTAGCGGTTAATAATGGCAATAGGATAAAATCATTAAGAAACGACAACTTCTTGGCAATATTTAAAATTTGATCACCTGAATAGATCATTCATATAATTTGTAAATATACCTACCAAATTCTTTGAGTCATAAATAGAACATGGTATATATATAGAGGGTAAAAATTAGTTCTTTTTATAATAGATGAGAGTTTTCAATTGCAAATTCTCAACATCTTTTTTTTGGTTGAAAGCAAACGCAAAAAAAGTGTAATGGATTGAATGCCATTTTATATGCTATTTACTTATATAATGCCTTTTAAAATTTGTTCTTCTCAATTAAATAGAGTTTATGTAATTTTGGTCCACATTCTTTGTTAAAAGTAACTAGAATAACGCCATAAGTGAGATGTTTACATATATAATCTATAAGATCAAAATTTTAAGGAAGGACATTTAAATGACTAAACATAGCAAATAAAAACAATCACTTTTTGTGAAATGTGAGCAATTGCATCAATTGATGAATACTTTCATTGTGAAAAAAATGTAGATTATAGGTAAGAGTGCAAGTGAGCCGAGACTGCTTAAACTCGACTTATTAATGAGTTCAGAAGTCTTGCTTATCGAGCCACGAGTTCGGGCTCGAGCTGAAGCCTAGCCTGGCTCAGCTCATAAGCTCATTGAGTTGCTCGATTAACCTAAATTATATTTTAAAATTAATTAAAAATTTGCATTATGTAATATATTTTATTCTTTTTAAATTATTTTTTATATACTCTAATTGTTTTATTTGTATATTAAAAGTCAAAATTCTTAAAAAATTAAAAAAAAATATTCAAAATTAAGAAATCGAGCTCAATAATCAAGTCGAGCTCGAGCTTTTTAGATGAGCTAGAGCTTATATCTTTTTTAATGAGCTCGAGCTTAGTAAATGAGCTTGAGTCGAGCTCTAGCATCAACTTAGTAAGAATTAAATAAGCTAAGCTCGATTAAGTAGATAATTGACTCGACTCTTTTACACTCCTAATTATGGGTGTAAAATAGCCTTGAGGTACAAGAGGAACTTTAATGTTTTTTATGTTTTTAAAGTTTCTTAATTCTAGTCCCTCCTATTGAAAGTAACTCTTAAATGAGAGCAAAATGTCTGAAATATCCCTGTTTATTCTCCTTTTTTCTCTCTTTCTAATTTTGAATCGCTTGAGATTTCATTGGGTTTGCAAGAGCATGTAGATTCTTAAAATTGAAAACACCGCAAACTAGTGTGATTGTTAGATCATAGGATTTGAATGAGTAAGATTGAAAAAAACTTTTAAATGAGAGCAATTATGGATTTAATTGGAGAGAGATAAGGGAGAGAGTTGTAATATGATTTTAATGGGCATGAGTAACGGAGTGAGGGGGGGGGGGGGGGCGGCCATAAGGGAGGGAAAACAAGTGTCTAGGTTTAATGTATGTGTGCCATATGCTTTAATTGATGATTTGAATTAAATCTGAAATTAATCCTAAGATTTTGCTTGATTATATGGCTTTCCTAAATGGGTTTGGTTTAATTGGAAATTTTTTGAAATTCAAAATATTTTGAATTTGAATTCGAAATTCTTTCCAAAAACATAGGAGCTAATTTTGGAAGGTGTTAATTGGGAATTGATTTGGGGATCTAAGGGGGTGAAAGGGAGGCCGGCGGCTTGGCTTTGGGTGGGGAAGGGCCGGTGGTGTGGGGTTTGCTGGGGTGGTGGTCGACAGCTGGTGTAGGTGGGGAGGCCAGCCAGTGGTTGGGTTTGGGGTGGTTAATCCATTGGGTGGGTTGGGGAAAGGAGGGGAAACGGTGGGGGGAAGGGGTAATCAAAAGGAGGCCGGCGGTATGGGGGAAGAGAAAAAAAGGAAGATAATAGAAGAAAGGTAGAACCGAGAGCCCAAACCTTCGGGCGGCTGTCGGGTATTACGTTGGCCCTCTCTTAGGGTTCACTCTTCTCTTAGAAGCACACAAGTAACAAGAGCAAAGAAAAGCTGAAATTTTTTATTCATTCATTGTTCCTCATGCAATGCAAAAGACCTCTATATATAGGTCTAAATAATAAAAGAAAAAAAAAAAAGATTCAATGCTCTCGGGGCTACAACAAGAACTTACTACCTGTTTGGGTAAAATAGGAAAAATTAAAATGCAAAAAATGATAAGCAATACTGAATACATCAAAAGTAAAGGCTCCGAATCATAGCCGTCCATCTACGATTCCTCCGATAATACACATGTCGAAATCTCTGACTGATGTCCTCATCAGTAGTTAAAAAGAGTGTAAAGTGCACACTTGCTGCATTTTACACTTCATAAGTTAACTCATGTTTCACTGCTTCAATGTGTGCTTTTGGGAAAAGCAGCGCATCTCGTTTAACGTTTTTTTGCCTCACATCTGAAGTCCTCGTTTCATTGTGCTTTTAACAAGATTGTTGTTATATATTTCTGTGCATTTTTTCACGCATCCTTAAGTTCTCTGATCAGATTTCAGAATTTTATTACCTGCAAAATTTCTTGCTACATTTCAGTTTTGAGCTATGCCCAAATTGATTAACAAATTTTTACAGTAGCAGTCTTCAAAAATTTGTTCTGAGGGGATTTTCGCCTTCTACTCAGCACAGATTTGATTTCTCCACTAAAAAGATACTTGATAGGATTAGTGATTACTTTTTTTTTTTTGGGATATTGGGTGGTGTGGTGTATACGTTTGCGGGAAGATGTCTTGATGATAAAGAGTTGGTGTGAATGGGTGCTTCGTGAATGTGATAAAAACCTTAAATATGTTTATCAGGAGATTGAGGATGCTTCTATTTGCTCAAAATATTTTCACTTATTTATTTGTTTTGCCAGTTGTCTAGTGGGGATGAATGTCCGCATCTCTTTTTTTTTTGGAAAAACTTCCGTTCAGTGGATCCTGTTGTGAAAGATGACAACCCTCGTGATTATATCTGCAAGAATATTTTCTTTTTGTGTTTTTTCGTATATGCTCCTTCTCTGAGTTAAATTTTCATTGTTTGGTCTTGTAATTTACACACATTTATCCATCTTGGACCACCCTATAGCCCTTAATGAATGATAACATCTTTGTATTCTGTAGTTTGTGGTTTTACCATGTTTTATATACTAGTAGACTAAGAGGATATTCTGATTTGTTTTTATAAACTATAACTTTTATGTGTTTTTCAAATTTCTATTATTTCATTGCAGGAAGTTCCACCATTGGATCTAACAGAACTCTTGGCATACTTAGTTAAGCAATCTGTGCCTTTGTTTGATCAGCTTGGCATAAGGAGGGGTAGGTAAACAAAGAGGTTTCTTAGTTAATCTCATTTTTTATTCTCTTGGTTTTATTTGGATGATATCCTGATTTAAGGTTGTGCTACTAACTGTTATTCCCAATATGTAAATTTATCATTCCATTTTGTTATCATTGCTAGAGAATTAGCGAATCAATGTGTTTGATAATGTATTTTAGCTAGGTTGTTTCATCCGTGCATTTTCTTACAATTAGAGGTTATCTAACCCTTTCATTATTCTCATTCTTCACTAGGTTGTTTCACTTATCTAGTTTTCTCACATTTATAAGTTTTAGTTTATCTTGTACTTTTGCTAATAACAATCTGCGTCCTTGTTCCATGAGCTTGGCACAAGCGGAGGTAGGTAGACGGTGAAATTATATGTCTAATCTCTTTTCCCTTCTCTTGGCAGTTGTTGAATTATATCCTAATACATGACTCTGCTATTAACTACTGTGCCTAATATACAATTTCATCATTTTGAAGAGATTTGGCATATCGAGAAGTTTTGACAATTTATTTTTAATTTATCTATTTTATCTGCAGATTTATTTTTTAGAATTAGATGTTTGGAAATCTGCACTGTTTTGCAGCCTTCATTAGAATTGACTGACAAACTTTTCTTAGACTCACGAGTTTTATGTGCAGCTATACGTCCGCTAACAAATCTAAACATTTCATACCTCCCATCTACTTCTTTTGTTTGATCCATTCTAATGCATCAACTTTGCAATCACTCTTAGTAGTATAATTTTGGAAGTGTGATGTATGAACTTAGTCAAAATATAATTTTTGTGATTGAAATGCCAGATTTGTTGGCTTGTGCTCATATTTTTTAAAAAATCTCCTTTGGAACAGTTTTCTTTTGCATACCAATAAGGCAACTAAATATTAAGGCTTTTTTTTTCTTTTAGAGTTAGAGTGAGGAGCATAATTCAACAGATTATGAACAAATGAAAGGTTTATCCTTGCCACATGGTTTAAGTTGAATAAATGAATTGAGAGTCAACAAGATTTATAAAATATCACCGTTGATGTAATTTAATGAGTTAAATTATTGGATCTAACATTCTAAATGGTTTTTTTACGTACAGTATAACTCCATCAGGCCTCACATAAACAAAATTTGAGTCATCTGATATGTGGTAATAACCGCATTGTGTAGTTTATGGGTGTCCTTTTTATTTATCATCCATAGAGCGGGGCAGAGGTGATATTTTTTTTCCCTACCACTTGTGCGTAACTTGTGAAACATCTGCTTTTCTATCATCTGATGTATCTTATTCCTATTATAACAACATCAATAAATCTGCCTCCATCCAGAAAGCCAACAGGCCATCTCTTGAGTATAATAGTTTGATTTTTTTCCCCTAGGGGTCATATTGTGATATTAATAGGTTACTGCTTTATCATAGATTAGTTTGCTATGTCATTGATAAGATAGTTTTTCAGCCATTGTATCATTGTGTTTTTAATTTAATCTCTTGAGACGATCATGATTATATTGTTTTTCTCCTTATTCCTTTCATGATTTTTTTGATAATCTTGTTTGTTTTTCTATCTGGTTATGTATTGAGATTGTCATGCTAATCGAGTTGCTTACATACTCATCAATATTGCTCTACTTAAATTGATGTATCATTGATCTTTTTTTGATTTGTGTAAATGGTATCACATGATAATCCATGAACTTTTTCCCCCTCTTTTTTTTTTGCAGATATATGTGACAAAGTTGTGGAATCACTGTGCAGCAAGCGTAAAGATCATCTACCATCTCACTCTGTGTCTGGGGAAGATGCATCCCTCATTGAGCATCACAACATCAGCGATGATCTGGATTTCAGAATTGCTAGTGTGCTACAAAGCACCGGTTATCATTCTAATGATGGTTATTGGACCAATTTTGCAAATCGTGACCTAGAAGACAAGAAACGCCATGTTGCTATTGTTACAACAGCCAGTCTCCCATGGATGACTGGAACTGCTGTAAACCCATTGTTCCGAGCTGCATATTTGGCTAAGTGTGCAAAGCAGAAAGTAACATTGGTGGTACCTTGGCTTTGTATGGCAGATCAGGAGCTAGTTTATCCTAACAGCCTTACATTCAGCTCGCCAGAAGAACAGGAAGCATACATACGAAGCTGGTTGGAAGAGAGGGTTGGCTTTAAAACAGATTTCAAAATCTCCTTCTATCCAGGGAAGGTACAATTCTGGTTTGTTCTATTCAAAGCTATTCTCCAAATTAGCAACTTAAGTTTATCTTAGTTTATTTTATGTCTAGTTCTCTAAAGAAAGGCGAAGTATTATTCCTGTTGGAGACACTTCAGAATTCATACCCTCCAAGAAAGGTGACATAGCTATACTTGAAGAACCAGAGCACCTGAACTGGTACTATCATGGTAAACGTTGGACTGATAAGTTCAACCACGTTGTTGGTGTCGTCCACACAAATTACTTAGAATACATAAAACGGGAGAAGAATGGAGCTATCCAAGCTTTCCTGGTCAAGCATATTAACAACATGGTAACTCGTGCTTACTGCCACAAGGTATAACCCTCACCCAGTTCAACCGTTATTCTCTTACATATTCTAATAATAGTGCACATAAATTTGTTGAAGCTTGAGTTGATTTTTATTCGGGTAAATTACACGTAGGTTTCTTTGATATAAAAAACATTTTACATTAGAGCATGCCTTTAGAGGACTTCTATTTGGGTCCCCGTAATATGGAAGGCCTAATAAAGAATAAAAAGTCGAAAATGTCCCAATCTTTTCTCCCTCTCTAATATTTCCCTCTACACCAGCTCAAATCGAAAGCCATTTTCTATTTCTCTTTATTTGGAAGCGATAATAAGAAATTTGAGCTTTTTCTTAGTATTTTTTCCTTTTTTTCTTTAAAAATTTCAAGGAAATTTTACCATGAGGTATTTCGACTTTTTGAGCATTTGGTTAAGTGTCTGCTGAAAAATCACAATTTTCAATAAACCCAAGATCGATTTATCCTTTTTTTCTTGCAAGTTTTTTAAGGACAGAGCAGTCTATAGAGATGTAGAAACTACTTTCTTTAAACTAAGCCAAGTTTCTCAGATCTCTCCTTTTCTTAGTTGATATCCCGTTCTTTTAGCAAATTTAAGGAAAACTATTTAGTTATCTTCTATATTTCTTGTTTCGTAAATTTTTTTTTGTTCAGTTTGATTCAAAGTTGTTATAAATCCTTCCTTATAGTAAGAAAACAAGACTTTCATTAAAAACAATCATCTCCCTACCTGAAAGTTGAAGAATAAACTTCAGATGCTTTATACCCATCTGATAGCTTCATGATTCAAACCATTATTCTTCATGCTCTATGTATTCAATTCTTTATGAAGATTATTTATTGAGGCTTCTTTTAGATCACAAGTAAGCTTTGATTTAGAAAGATGCTGGATCCAATGGTTATTTGGTATGGTGGCGGATCCAGCAAATTACTAAAAAGTGGATAGAGATGGATACTCTTGCATGTTGCTGTTGATTGACGACAGCTTGTGAGTTGTACAGTTGGGGAGGACCTGATGAGAGTTAGTTATTTGAATCAAATCTAGTAAAAAGAAAACGATTTCTGACAGGGACCATTAGGACCTGGGAGATTTCAAGTATTGAGATCGTATTAAATAAGTAAAAGAAGGAACAACTTGATGATATGTTTGATTGCATGTTGTTCTCAATGAATTGGAAAGCTGCAAATCTAGTTGAAATGTAGGATGGATCATACGTTCAAGGAATACAAAATGATTACTATTGATCTTAATATTTGATTACTTGAAGAATTGATTTTGGATGCAATCAGGCATTTACTGAGCAATGTTTTTGTGAAAAGGATGCACCGAGTGAGAGATAAATAGTCGGTGAGAAGATGGCACAAATGAGTAAGAAGAGAGATGTGAGTGTAAGGAATGTAGTAAATGACGGCTCTATTTTCGTTTATAGTATAATTGATTAGATTTATAATTTACTTATTATTAAACTTGATCTCTTAAGATGGTTTTTGTTAAAAAGTTTAAAATTGATGAGAAGTATATCCGACTTTACTAGGATGTTACCTGTAAGTGATGTTCTGCAATTCGATTGTAGTGAAAAATAGACGATGATTGACTATGACATCATCCACAAGTTATTTGTTACCACCTATCCCTTTTGTGATCTAAATTAGGGGTGCAAACAAGTTGGGTTGAGACCTAGATACACCTAACTTGAGCTTGACTCAACCGAATTATTCTTAGCTCAAACTTGAGCTCTCACTTTAGCTCGCAAGCTCGATGGTAGGTTGCAAGCTCCACTATGATCAAGCTCAACGAGCCAACAAGTTGAGTCATAAGATACTCATAATCAAGCTTATTTATGATTCTAGCTTGGCTCATGGGATCATTAAGCCTGGTTCATGAGACTATTAATTAACATAGCTCCAGTTGACTTTTGACCTAAACCCTAAGGTATCATTCCAAACTTCTCTCTTGATGTATCTGTCCTTATCAGCCTCTCTTGATGTATCTGTCCTTATCAGCATAAACAACTGCTACCTCCCAATCAATAACATTAGCAATTTGAAGCCTTCCCATAATGCATTGATTAGTTTGAAAAATAACTTGAAAAGAAGCCACATTACTTTTCCAGATTACAAGATTACCACCTCTAGTAAAAATTAAACAAGGTTTGATTGCTGGTCTCATGCCATTTTTTATTGATATCCAGTTTCAAGCCCTACTTATCTATTATTGGCTTTTTACCAACTTATAATTTATACAAAAATTTTGTGATAGATTTCTATTATTTGTTTGAAAGAAAAATCAAGGGTTTATTAGTTCTAAAGCTATGATAAACCTTTTATATGAAATTTAAGGGCCTTGAATGAAAACACATAAGAATCACTGTACATAATGATTAGAAGAAGGATGAATAACACTTGTTTGTCAAATTGGTCCCTCAGAAGAAATGATGACTATTTTGATCCCTCAAAAAGAGTTGAGGGATTATTTTGATCTTTTTCTCATATGACAAATTAGGAACATGATAAATTAAGTATTTTATAATAATCCTTGGAATCATTACAAATTAGGAACATGAATTTCTCTCTAAACATTTCTATTTTATGAAATCATTACATATATATACATTCTAGGAGAATAAACATAAAAAGGAAAGACATTTAATCTAATTAATTATAATAATCATATTCCACGAATCTCTAACTGTAGCCCTTGGATTTTTGTCCATGGATCTCCAACTGCAGCACTCGGATTGCTGCCCACGAATTGCTTACATGGCCTCCCCTTGACTGCGTGATTCAACAAGACATAAAAATAAAAGTTATTCAATTATTTGGAAGTAAACGTGGTAGACCTAACTCCTAATATAACATGGAATCTATGTAACATTTTATTATAGCGTACTATCAATCCAATACTGGTCTGATTTGCTATTCATCTTAGCGTAATAACCTTAACCGGAGCATATTTCCATATCAACAAATCATTGTTATTCATTACGCAGGTTTTGAGACTATCAGCAGCAACTCAGGATCTACCCAGATCTGTTGTTTGCAATGTTCATGGTGTCAATCCTAAATTCCTCAAGGTTGGGGAGGAAAAAGCTGCTGAAAGAGAGAGTGGGCAGCAGGCATTCTCCAAAGGAGCATACTTTCTTGGCAAGATGGTTTGGGCAAAAGGTTACAAAGAGTTAATTGATTTGTTGGCAAAGCACAATAATGAATTACAAGGTTTCAAATTAGATGTCTATGGCAACGGAGAAGACTCTCATGAAGTTCAGTCCACCGCCCAGAAACTGCAGCTGAATTTAAACTTTATGAAAGGAAGAGATCACGCTGATGATTCACTTCATGGGTATTGATGGCTTAACATTTTATGAAATCCGGTCACCGGACCTAAATTTGCGTCCGGATTGCCTTCGCTTTTAATGTATTTTTACTGTGCTTTTGATGCATTTTTGCAAAAAGCCAGCTAATACATCATTTTAATTGCATATTAACTGCACTTTTACTGAGTATTTAAAAACCGCAGCAAAAACGCATCAAATACTCAATGAGTGAGATATTTGTTGCGCTTTTGCTTTATTTTTGCAAATACTCAACAAAAAAACATCTAGTATGCAATTAAAATTGTATATTAGCTGCCCTTTTGCAAAATACATTAAAAGTGCACCAATCCGGACGCAAATTAGGTCTGGTGACCGGACCTAATAATTTGCCCATCCCTCACTATATCTGTCATTTATTCTCATCCAATTTACCTTTTTGCAGGTACAAGGTCTTTATAAATCCTAGTGTCAGTGACGTCCTGTGCACTGCAACAGCTGAGGCTTTAGCCATGGGAAAGTTCGTTATTTGTGCAGACCACCCCTCAAATGATTTCTTCAGAGCCTTCCCTAACTGCATGACGTACAAAACCTCAGAGGAATTTGTTGCAAAAGTAAAGGAAGCTCTAGCAAATGAGCCTCAGCCCCTGACCGCCGTGCAAAGGTATAATTTATCATGGGAGGCTGCTACTCAAAGATTTATTGAATACTCCGAACTTGACAAAGTTTTGAGTAAAAGTTATGAAGATTCAATCGAGAGCGGGGAAGAAGCTAAGCCGCTCTCTAAAATCAAGAAATCAGTTTCAATGCCAAGTTTGTCTGAAATTGTTGATGGAGGATTGGCTTTTGCTCATTATTGTTTGACAGGAAATGAACTCCTGAGACTCTCTACTGGAGCAATTCCTGGTACAAGGGATTATGATAAGCAACACTGCGTTGATTTGCATCTATTGCCGCCTCAGGTACAGAATCCCATATATGGCTGGTAAGGCATTTTTCTCTAAGGCTTCAATCCTTCACCAAGGAGAATTTCTTCGCAACAGTTTATTGAATATGATGGCAAAGGAGAGATGCCGCAACATGTAAATTCTCCACCACTGCTTAATTTTGAAATACCTTACACTGTAAATATTGGTTTTTGGTTCTATATTTGTTTGTTTCAGGTTTATATGCAAGTCCATGTATGAAAGTATTGGTTAGTTGATTGAGGAACTATATGTAGATATTGTTAGGATTGTGGCAACCCAACCTATTTTTTTTGTTTTTTCTTAGGGGCATTTGAGTGATTTGGAAGAAAAAAATGTTTTGAAAAGTGATGAGTGAATGAAATCCTCACATAAATTATGAATGTGTTTGCTGAGATAAAAGCTGATCTTGATATCTAATTATAATCTGTCAAATAAATGTAATTTATAAATGTCATCATTTTAAAATGAAGAAAATGGGAGGATATTTTGAAGATATAGGTCATGATGAGTATAATATGTATTATTTAGAAAATTAAATTCATCTTAGAATAAATTTGAAATTTAATGTTTTTATGGTTAAATTTTGATTAGAATATTTTATTTGAATTGTATTCTTTTTTTTTTAATAGATCATTTAGATTGCAAAGATTGTAAAATTATTATGAGTGAAAGTTTATGCATCCAACATTGTTTATTAGTTTAAGATTTTAAGATGAATTAACATAAAATTAAAAATAAAGTAAATTATTGTTCTAGGATTAGATGGAGCATTTAAAGAATATTAACAAAAATGTTTTTTAGAAGAAGATTTAGATCTTAAGATTTTTTTGTGTATGAGAAATTTAATGTTATGTGGGAAAAAATAGCTAGTGATATTAGGAATATTACAAAAGATGTGTTTAGAGTATCAAAAGGAAAAGTTACTAATAGTAAAAATAGTTGGCGTTGAAATCAAAATGTGTAAGAAAATTTTAAAAATAAGAATATTTATTAAAAAAAATGGTTAATCTATAAAAACTTTGGTATAAAGAGGTCCGTAAAGTATCTAATAAAATAATTTGCAATGTAAAGATTTTAGTTTTTTAATGATTTATATAATATATTAGATATTAAGGAGGATGAAAGCTGTATGTATAAGTTAGCTAAACAAAGAGATATAAGTAATAATGATTTAATTCAAGTGAAGTTGTTAATGATGAAGATTAAAAAGTACTTTTATTAGAATAGGATATTCAATAAGGCGGATGAGATATTTTGTTAAACTTTTTAATGAAAATTATGAGAATTTAATTGACTTTAGTGACCTTAGCACCCTAAATGAAAATATATATATTTTTTGTATTTATCGGCATATTAGTAAAATCATAAGTTAAAGAGGTTTTAATGAAAATGAAGTGTGAAAAAGCTGTTGGACATGATGATATTCCAATAGAGACCCGAAAAGGTTAGGAGATGAATGAATTTCTTGGTTTACTAAACTTCTTAATATTATTTTGAAGACTAAAAAGATGCTAGATGAGTGAAGAAAGAGTGCATCGATTCCTATTTTTAAAAATAAAGGTGATGCGGAAGATTGTGCTAGTTATAGAGGAATTAAGTTAATGTGTCATACTTTAAAACTATATGAAGGAGTTATGGAGCATTGGTTGCGGCGTGACAATAATGCTTCTCAAAATCAATTCGGATTCATTCCAGATAGGGTTACTATGGAAGTTGTACATTTATTGAGAGGGTTGATGGAGAAATTAGAGTGAATAACGAGGATCTACATATATTTTTTATTGATTTAGAGAAAGCATATGATAAAGTTTAAAGAGAAGTGCTATGGGGAGTTTTCTACATAAGAAAGGGGTTAAGAATGCTTATATTCAAGTCATTAAGCAAATGCATACAGGAGCTGTTACTTATGTTCAAACACAAGGTGGTTTGATCAAGTATTTTCCTATTTAAGTTGGATTAATTCAAGGATTGGCCTTAAGCTTGTATCTTTTTGTTCTAGTCATGGATGTTCTCACTAGACATTTGCAAGAGTTGTACCCTGATGTATGTTTTTTGCTGATGATATTCTTCTTGTTGATAAAACTAGAGAGGGAGTTGAAGGTGAACTTGAATTATGGATATCAACCTTAGAGTCTAAATGCTTTTCTTTGACTAGATCTAAAACTGAACATATGGAGTGCAATTTTAGTAATAATAGTTGTGCGAGGATTGCGACTTTGGATGATCAAGTCATTAATAAGAGCATACGTTTTAGATAACTTAGGTCTATTATTTAAAGTGATGGTAAAATAGATGGTGATATTATTAATAGAATTCAAGTAGGATGGTTGAAGCAGAGGAATACATCGTGCTTGTTATTTGATAGAAAAGTCCTCAAAATTAAGAGAAAATATTGTAAGATGGTAGTGAGACCTACAATGCTTTATGGTGTAGAATGTTAGCCATTAATAGAGAAGCATAATATTATGTAAAGTGTTGCAGAGATGAGGATGCTCAGGTGGATGAGTGGCTTTACTCTTAAAGACAGACTATGAAATGAGCATATATGCTAAAAGGTTGGAGTAGCTACAGTGGAAGATAAAATTAGAGAGAGTAGCCTTAGATGGTTTGGTCGCATAAAACTGTAGCCTTTCGATGCCCTGGTTAGAAAAGTAGATGTATTAGATTTGCTTATGTTAAGAAAGATAGAGGTAGACCTATAAAGACTTGGTTAAAAAATATTAGAAATGACTTTTATTTATTAGATTTAGATAAGAATTTGACACTTAATATAACACAATTGAGAAAAAGAATTCTTGTAGCCGACCCCACATAGTGGGATAAAGGCTTGTTGTTGTTGTTTGAACTCTTTTTTAAAACAATATTTTACTAGCAACCAATCGAGCCTTTATAAAATAATCCTTAGATTATTAATGGAACATTTATCTCACTCTTTAGATTATTAATTATGACCTTGCTTTAATATATTTGATGTATGATTTAAGTTATCTAAAATTTTTATAACATAATCCTCATACTAATTTTTTAGGGAAGCCTAAGGTGAATGATGGTATATCATATATGATTGAAAAATAAATTAAATCAAACTATATGAAAAATAGATGGACAATAATCCAAAAAAATATTGAGGATTTAAAGTAGCAATAATTTTGTCAGTAATGTAAAAAAAAAGCTAGCTAGAAGTTATCTTTAGCTAATTATTTAAATGCTTGCAACCAAATTTTCTAAGAAGTGATAAAAGCATTTGTGATAGTTTTTATTGGTTTATTTTCCAGAACATTGTGACAATTCACATGTTATAAAGTTTTTTTTTTTTTGCCACATTTTTGGAGTTTTGTGATGAGTTTTTCAAAATTAAATTTGTTCGAATATGATAGCTGAAAAAATTATTTTTTAAAACTTTTTTTAGAGGAACAAAAACTATAATTTCTATAACCAACTTTAAAAAATTATATTTTTCCCTTAATAGTATTAATATTAATTTCATAACATTTATCCTAAAAGAACCTAAAATAATAGTATTTTAACTCTGTCTCTCTCATACAAATAATTTATATTTGAGCATGCTCGATTTAGTTCATGACAACTCACATCAAATTCGATTCGAGAAGGACTTGACAAATTACTCGCCCCATTGAATTTGATATTGGACCAATCCATTTTGAAATATTTTTAATTTTCGAGTTAAGTTCAGCCTTAATTGAACTCGAGGCGTCTTATTTTATGTGTTGTGTTTATAGCGACGGTAATTAAAATATAATTTTCTAAAAATTTTTAGAATATTAATTTTACATAACAAATGCTTCAATTGGGGGTGAAAAATTAGTCTCTAAAAAAATGATAAATGATATGAGGAAGAAGAGGGAGAAAAAGGAAAAAAAAAAAAAGAAAGAATATGAAAAGGCTGTTGGCATTAACTGAAGTGTGGACTTATCAAATACTTTTTTAATGGATATAAATTTATGATGAATAAAATATCAATAAAAATTAAGATATAAAATTAGTTAATGATAAATAGATTTGAGTTCAATTATAAATAAAGAGTGGGGCACTGCGGACATGAGCCCGTACGTAAAATCTCACAACATACTTTTTTAAATAAAAAGATAAATAAATAATTTGAAATAAATATTAATATATTTGAAAGATTAAAATGTTATTTTAATATGAACTATTAAATAAAAAGATAAGAAATTCATCTTAAAATAATTGATAGTTATTTTAAAATCTTTAATGTGTGCCTCCGCTAATAAAACTTTCTGACTCTTCCTCTACTGCCAAGCAACCCCCCAACTAAGTTGTTGCTATCTCCTCAAATATCATACAATAATATGCTAAAATATCTCATTTATTGTCCGTCAAATATGCCAACACATATTTAATTCTTTTAACAATACAGAAAACCCGGTATTACCGGCGGATAAAATCCGCCGATAAGATGTGAAATCCGACGGAAATATGAGTTTCTGGCGCACGTTCCGGCGGAATTTCATGCGCCGGTTTGGCTCGCGTCGATAAATATCTTCTGACATTTATAATGCGCCGGAAAAATGTTGTTGAGCCGGCGACTTTCAACCGATAAATTTAGCTCAGCATATAGCAAATGTCTACATCGTGCTTGTTATTATAATAACCACTATCAATAGCTCAAATGCCTTACATCAAAGGTCTTTCCATTTAGAAAGGTGACCTCAACATTTACTTTCACTTACACTCATATTTGGCAGGTGACTCTCTAGACACATGGTCGACCACATATTACCACTCTTATCTTGGCCACATTTAGCTCAGCATATAGCAAGCTAGGTCACTTACATGTTGCATGGACATCAGGCACCACATATTTACACATGAACATAAGTCAGAGACTCAAAAAGAATAAAGAACGTAGACTTTCTACTGAGCTATCAGTTAGTAGAAGAAGATGTGGAGTCCAATTCTTATAAAACTTATATATGGAACCATGACGCATCATTCACTGGATATATGGGAGAAATCCACATCTGGCAAAGAAACAAATGTTACAATTGCGCAATTGACGTTGCAAAGAAATTAAGTTTAGATTCCTCGTAAGATAGCGATATATAATATGCTCATAAATCAAACCTAGACAGTGAGGTTCAGTTTGGATTTAAGGAATTGGAAGTAATATATATGTAAGCTAATTTACTTTATAGTTTGTTTTAGTTGTTTAGTTTTTTTTATTGATATTTTCCATTTCCACTCTATTGATAGCAAAACTCTTTTTTTTTTTCTTCACTCAATTTATTGTCAACCAAAAAAATGGATGAGAATGAAGTTCTACTACTTTTATTTTCTTAGTTCTTTCAACTCGAATGGAGACTTAGATTTCATTTGGGACAGCTTTTTTGTTGCTTTCTAAAATAGCTTTTTATTACAAAAATTTTAAAATTAAAAATTTCTATACTAAAAATTGTTTTAGAAAGCAACAAAAAAGTTGTCCCTAGCGAAGTCTAAATTTTCATTTGAGACAACTTTTTCCTTTTTATTAAACATGACTTTAATAGAAATCTTTTTTTTGAATTTGAAATTTTTATTCTAGAAAACTGCTTCATAAAGCAGTAAGAAAACTGACACAAACGAAACCGTAGTTGTATTTGTTGAAACCAAAGAGGAAGATCTTGAGAGATCTTCTTGCAAGATCTAGAGAGGGAGAGAGGAGGAGGAGGGAGAGGGAAACCGTGAGCCAAAAAACCAAGTAATCTTTATTCCCTTGGCTGCCTATTACAAGCCTAAACACACTTATTTAAAGACTCCTAAAGGCTATACAAATAGCTCCACAAATGACTACATATGCCATACAAAAAACATATACAAAAACAAACCT